TTTTGTTATTTTTCAATATATTTGCATGCATATATTTGGCATTTTATTATATAATCGAATAAGATTTCCTTTCGTACCCATCACCTGATTTGAATTTTGCAAATATACATTTTCAAATAATCAATAAAGTACATCAATATAAGGAACCGTTCATAATTAAATTAAACACCCCCCAGGTGGGGGTGTTGATTGTAAGGGTTGGAGGGTGGGGTGGGGTGTCACCCATTTTGTTCAGGGGAGCTAAGGGGTCAGCATTTTTGTACACACGCACTATGTTTAGAAATTATGGGAAGGGGAAAGGGCGTCATAGATAATGTACATGACATGCAGGGTGGGTCGTCTCTTATTCTGTACATACTCATACACTTTAGGGTGTGTGTGTGTGTGTGTGTGTGTGGTGTAATTCACATTGTACATAAAAATCAACATCACCCCAAAGCCATACATTATGAACGGTCCCTAAGGGCAGCTATACAAAATCGGATAGGATTAATCAACATTTTATATTGCATCCCATTATTATGATCATTTGTTCGTTTGAATAGATCTATCAGTAAATGATGCATTGAGCACGCCCTGAACCCTGTCAACATATGTATATTATTGGGGGGAAGGGTCGGTGGAGAATGGCGTAAGGAAATGCAACGAAAATTTTCACTTTAAAATGTCTTGTGAAAGTCTTTGTTAAGGATGAAATTGTATATAATTTATTTGAACTTTTATTTATTTACAAAAAGTGTAACTTCACTAATGATTCTTTGATGGGACAATTAACAAAACTGCACCCACAGACTTTCATTCTTACACTTGTTTGGAAGGGATATGATAATTCATGTCTCTTAAAGGTTAAAATCTTACATACAAAAGAAGTAATTTTAATGTAAGGAACATTTGATCATGAAATAAGATTATTTTAATGGAATTTGCAGAAATCTCATCTTCGAAGACTGGGTGGCAGCAATTTTGTGGATCACATAAAAGGAGCAAGGCTAAGGTAACACGTTTTTAACATTTCACTTGTTTCCAGTATATCCACCTCAAAGTTTAAGAGAAAGAATATAATGCTCTTTCATTACCACCTGTTTTGAATATTTGTGATAATGTTTGGTCTTTTTTGGTGATAATAGTTGGTCTTTATTTTCATTTATATATTAAGGTTGATCATTTAAGAGAAAAAATTGACAATGATTTCTCCCGGAGATGTTTAGTTTAATGAGCACTCCCTTGCTTGGCGCCATATTGTTTTTCGCCGTAAACAGCTGGATGCAAGATGGATCTAGCACGCGAGAGGACAGAAGTCATACATTTATAGATATATAGAGATGTTAATTGCTGGGAAACACACTCTTCAGGTATTTGGTCAGCTGTAGAATTTGAATATGATGTGTTTTATTATTGTCAAAGGGTAGGTTTTTCATTATTTGCAATCTAATATGTGTGCAGTGAAACATACTGAGATTTGGAAGAGTCCATTATTTAAAGTACAGGTGTTGTTAGATATCAGCATTTTATGTACATGTTCCTTGTTAAGATCATCTATCGAGTATATTAGAGGTGAGAAGGTGTATATTTGTAGTGTTTTAAATCAGAGTTACTTTTTCAGCATCTTGGTGAGAAATTGTGAAAAACACAGCCGGGCTGTATGACCTCCATTTCAATATGTTAAGGCCACCTGTCACCTTTGGTCAAATAGAGTAGGACTTCCATTTCTTGGAATTGATGGAGTCAGGGATGCACTGTTTCCAAGAATTTGCAAATAGAGTAGGTGAATTGAGAGTCCAGCGATGTTTGTTTACGAGTACATTTAAGTCTTTTTGAGTGTAGATTGGAGTTATAAGAGATGTTATTCAATGTCTTATTATTCATGGTATGATAGATTATTTCTGGCAATGTAGAGTTAAATCTCATTATTTTATTTTTCATGATTCAGAGAAGCATAGTTATGACGTCGCAGATAATACGCACACATAATTCGTTATATGAGAGATTTTCTAAGCGTTCCTATAAGAGATTAAGTGTAAACATTTATGAATTATAAAAAAGTTATTTATCTGAGTTTTATGCGTGTACAAATGACAAAGAGAGAGAGAGAGTAGATAATAGAGAATATATTGCATACTTATGAGAGCTCATTATTGTTTTCAGAACTCCATGATCCATACTTCCTTGTGTTTGGGAACAAATGGTGTTGGGAGACCTCCCACAATAGACTTGTTCTTTGACCTGTGAACCACCACCCATTTTGTTTTCTTATCATTTAATGTAAAATGGCTTTTGTTACAATTTATGACTCCTGGTAGCAAAATTGCTACATCAGTTCAACTCCTATTAATTTGAAATAATCATTTCCGAGAATCTCTAAAGAAAACTAAATCTGACAAAATAACAACAATCTTCCATTGTTTTGCAGGACAATGTCAAACAATTTGATGTCAAGAATGAATGTTGATGGGCAAAATGGCAAGTTTTCTTTTACATGTTTAAGAATACTAGGTTGTATTCAATCATTTCTGGTAAGTTAATTACCAAGTGCAGCATTTTCATCATGACCATAGCAAATAATATATGACAGTAAAGCATCGTCTAATTCATCCTACCGGTAATTCATAGTCGAATTAAATAATGAACTTGCAATTGAGGATTTTCTTTGAAAATGTTTAAGAAAACTTCCATTCCTTCGGTTGAAAATATAAATTGTTTACACTTTTCGTCATATTTTGTATTGATGTTGTTCATATGTTCACATGCCAAGTTACAGCAGTGAAATGAACCTTTCAAGTGATTGATTAAACAAATACTTGAATCATTTAAGACAATATATCTTCCATATAACTTATTCATGTATTTAAATATAAAATTTCAGAATGTGTCCTATCTCAAGGGAATGAGATGGGAATGCATCCGAAGCAAATTTCAAGAAAGAGTTAGGAACGTTTCTGAAGTATCCACCTGACCGCCAGGCAGGGAGTGGCAGAAAGAAGAGGAGCTGATAATTGTGTTTTTGGAGTTGTAATTGTGTTGAAAAATCTGAACTGTGGTATTGAAATTGGTGGCGTAAATGTCACTTTGATGCTATTTGCAGATGATATTGTGTTATTAGCACAACAGAGATCACCTACAGACTATGTCATGTGTGATGTTTTACATTATGCATTAAACCACGTTTTCTGTGTGCGTGTGTGTTCATAAAGATTTCATGAAAAGTGACTTGTTTTATGTGCTGTCTTCAGGTATAGTTCCTGGTCATCTTGGATCCCTTTCATGGTGAAAGTAATTGCATTGTGTTTATTCAGGTGTCTGTCTAAGAGCTGAAATTCAGACAAAATGTCTTATCGGGACAATTTTCACCTTTTCAAGGTAACAATACAACAGTAAATAGTTTTTCTTAATTTGGAATACTCTTTTCTTCTTACTGGAACTAAACGTCCAACTGACATAAAACTTAAATGAACATTATATTGAAAGTGGAATTTTAACCAAGTATTTTATCAGGTAATATTTTTACTGCAATTTTCTGTTTGAACACTGTTTATTGCAGGTAGCTTTTTGGGTATTTTAGCTGGATGCAGGAGTTTGGTGCTACTTTATTGTAGTTTAAAGATGAAATGCGAGTCTATTTACAGGAAAGCGTAATACCTCCCAGACACAACCACGGAACAACCAATTTTCAACGTTAATAATATGTCAGACTTCAACATTGATTCCACGTCGGATATCTACGTCAAAAAACTTTCATATACAACCTATTTTCAATCTATTTTCAACGTTGAGGATCAACCTTTTTTCAACGTTGATAATCGGTCAAACTTCAACATTGATTCCACGTCGGATATCTACGTCTAAAAAACTTTCATATACAACCTATTTTCAACGTTGAGGATCAACCTATTCTCAACGTTGATAATCGGTCAAACTTCAACGTTGATTCCACGTCGGATATCTACGTCAAAAAAACTTTCATATACAACCTATTTTCAATCTATTTTCAACGTTGAGGATCAACCTATTCTCAACGTTGAAACAACGTTGATGTGCCTGCTGGGAGTTATTTCCTTGTATTCAACCTGGTTGAGTAAGAAGTAATGAGAAACTCGGTAGTTCTAGATCCTAGGGTCCAAATGACCTCTTAATACATTTAAGTCACGTTAACATAATTATCATAAACAATGCATTTGCCTTTCCTTGTCTAGGAACCGGGCATCATATACAGTCAGACAATGGATTCAGGTGAATTTATACCTGACAAATATGAACAAAAATATCACTAGAAACTGAAACTTTTGAAGGAACTTTAACGAAGTACAAGACAGGTTAACTGGAAGGGATATTTATTTTTCCTCTGGAATTTTATGAAACAACTCAGAAACCGCAAAGATCCAGTTGACATGGCGTAAACAAATTTAAGACACGACGTAAAGAAGTGACCTCTAAAACTTGACGAATGATCTCGTGTACATTAAATTTATGTTTCCGATTTTGTATTTAAGAAAGAAATGGTCGAATGTCTTTCGCAAATTAAATATTAGTTGTCTGGACGTTTTTAATCACGCCCAAGTACAAAGGTTCAGAAGGACATGACAAAATGTTATGGGCCTTCTGCGTTCAGTAGGTAGATCCTGATCGCTGGTAGTATTTCATATAATTACTGAAAGAGACTTGATCTAAACTTTATCATAGACCGTAATTTTTCCGTATTGAGTTCATCGTGCTTAAAACAATTGCTCCAAAACCATAATACGTATGTAACCACGTATAAGTGGACCATATAAGTTCAAAATGGACAGTTTCTTTCTCCACTGATTGTGTTTCCATTACTAATATGGGGCAGACTGGATTATTTACTGACATTTAGGTAATATGACCAGAATAATCCTGACCTCGCCATTAAATATTCACTGCTAATCAAAGTACATTGATACATGTGTGTTCTTACTGATGGTGCCCCGATCGATACAGTTCATGGTACCAATGCCAAACAGGAGAGTGGCTTTCATACCTGTTTACCCAAAATACGTCAGGTACATCTTCACCTCAAGGGCCGCTTTATTCCCATCGATCGGCATATTTACATAGGTTGGATCAGCGTTCTGGGTCAGCTCGGACTTCGGCTGCAGTTTTCCTGTTGGGTTGCACATGCCGCAATTTTGGAACCACCAGCCCGAAAGGTGAATCATGGCACAGTTGCCGACGTCGGTGTCCTTGTCGTTGTCGATGGTGGAGAAAGGCTGTCCTACCGCTGTCGCTAGGCAGTCCCCAAGCGGCCAAACTGGATCGGGTTTTTGTGACAAGAACGTGAAGGAGTAACCATCTGATTCATTCAATAGCTGAAATGGAAGTTTGAACACTGATCTACATGGTCAGACTCGCTGTGACTGAGAGGGTCGTCAGATGTTTAGGAAATAGGGAGATAAAAATACACCAAGGTATGGGTCGTGAAGACTAAATTGTATTTTAAAACACAGTAAACTTCACAATACTTCCAGACACGCGACGTCCCTTGTGTTTTGTTCATCTGAAAGCCTGTTTGTTTGTTTGTTGTTTAACGTCGCACTCAGCAATATTCCAGCTATATGGCAGCGGTCCGTAAATAATCCAGTCTGGACCAGACAATCGAGTGACAAACAACATTAGCATCGATCTACCAAATTAGGATACGATGATATGCGTTAACCAAGTCAGAGAGCCTGACCACCCTTTCCCGTTAAGCGCCTTTTATGACAAGGATGGGTTGATCTCAAAGCTGACTGTTTGCAATTTGCAAAATCATATTGTTGAGCGCAGTGGTAATCAACAAACCCTAACTCACAGACACACACTAAGCCAGACGCGTGTTCATTAATCCTGTAATAAAGTGAATATCATCTTACCTGAAAGCCAATGTAGAACCGCTTTCTGAATTCCGGTTTTCCAGTATCAGTCCTCGCCTTTACTGTGATCTGTAAGGTCATGTTTCGGTGACTGGTTAGATGGTGTAACTTTTGTAACCCAAACCAGGCATTTCCCTCAAGGTCACCGAAGCCATCTTTGTACTCTGCAAAGGTTCTGTTGAAGTCCACTTCCGGGGCTTTAAACGTTCTGCGGAGGATGACGAGCTTCCCGCCATGCCTCATCTCGCAGTAGACCTTGATGGGATAGGGTGAGCTGCGCGGGTGGACAGGGACCATGGCATCCATCTCAACATAATACGGTTGGTCAAAGCCCTCACTACAATCTGCCAACAAGAGAGAACTCAAGATGATTTCGAAAAAGAGCCAATATATTTCCCAAAATAGCGACTACAACTGCAGCCTCTTGCCAAATCTTAACACATCCGCAATATATTTTTTATGTTGCATAAACTGGCATATTGATAAGTAGTGAGTGTAAGGTTTCCGTGGCAAGACCATCAGTTGTAGTCGCTGTGTGTACAATGTGCGAAGTCCATTTTTCTTCCCCGCCCTGATATTGCTGGAATATTTGGAAAAGCGACGTAAAATCATACCCACTCACTCACTCACTGACAACTATGAAGGAATAATGGCCTGGACTTTCCGCGTTGTCTGGTTATTGAAGTCCAGTTTGCTACTTTTAGCCGATTCCTGACGGTCCTGCAGGAAATGGCTCTCGTTGGTAACCACTGTTTCCCTAACGATGTGCTTGAGACCCATGAACGGCGCCTAACAAGTCTAAAAATCTCTACCCTCTCTTATTGTCTTACTGTGTGTGCCAATTATGGGAAGATCTTTAAAACCACTGTGTTTGTTCAAGAGTCTTGATATGATGGAAGAATTACATTTCTTATGCCAATAATTTGTCACCTTGTAGCCTCTGACAATTATGACACTGAATATTCGATCCAAATAGAAGCGAGTGTAACATGTTATCAGTCAAAACGTGATTTCAACAATGTTTGGGGTAAGACATTTCACGGGCACTGCGCGCCATTGCACGTGCATGGAATGCCTCCACAAAAATGTCATGCAATACAACAAAATGCCAAATGTAAATAAATCATTTATAAAAATGCTCTGTTTTCTTAATTCCGAGATTTATAGGTCTATGTATTTGGTGTTGCCTAATCAATTTCCATATGTATATATTGTAATAAAGCGACCTTTAATCCGAAGTGCATTAAATTACTTCAGCACTTTGAAAATATTTGGAAAACATCTTTTCACGCCAAGTTGAAGGTATACTTTGCAAATCCGGCAAACGACGGAACTGAATGTCCTTAAGCGTCCTCATTGTAGAAGCAAACATCGACTGCGTATGGTTTTACGCCGCTTTAAAGGTCACATGCAACGTAAAACACAACTTTGCAGATTCTGATACCTTCCGGTATGGACTTACCGAAACAAATCGTCAAAAATGCAAATTCAACTTATAAAGTTAAAAAATAACGCGATGAAAAAAACCGCGCGAAATCGGAGTTCAAACGTTTCACTAATTTTCCCCCGACTTTTCTGGGGAAAACGGGTTTCAACAGCTGGGCTGCGCTCATAGCACGTGCGTAGTGAAATAGGTTCCCACAGCTTGGAAGCGGGTTGTCCGGTGAATACTCGGTGAAGGCTTTGGTGTGAGCTATTTTTCTAATGTTTTGTTGATATCTCACAGGCGAGAGCTTTTTATATGTTATGACAGTAAATTAACTGTTTATATAATTTCATTTGTCTATTTCACCACACGTTCTTCTTACCGAGTCACTTTCTCAGTTCGATACTTTAAAGCAATGTCATTATTTAGCGTTGTACAGAATTTCTAACTGTGATATAGATATGTCGTTGTCACAGACAAAACTCAATGTCTTGTTTTATTGACACCTGTGTGTCTGCCTGCCTGTCTGACAATATTCAGACCACATGCAATTTGAACTTAACACCAATCAGGCTATACACCATAAACAAAATGCATTGATTTATGGCCCGAGTTCGGTCTCTGTCACATTATGTAATTACACAGACAGGCAGGTGTGATACTTGAACACATGACATGTTATGATGTCTGTTGATTGCAAAATGTTATACACAAAAAATGAGCATGTATTTACAAAACACAACATCTCTATATATACACATACAATGAGCCGTGAAGGCATCTGCAAATGAACAAGCCGTTACACCCACCCGCTCTGACTGGGTTCGGTATCCCGGCTGCTTCGTTTCTTGGGAAGTAAACCGAAGTACACAATTATGCACTTTTGATTTGCGATTGTACGCTTATAATTTTGTTTATATGTTTTTTCATTACCAGCAATGTATATTATATGTCATGAATAAGTGATAATTGTGTTTTAATTATGTTTGATTTTTTGGTTGCATGTGACCTTTAAGCAATATTCCAACAATATCATGTCGGGGACACCAGAAATGGGCTTCATACATTGTACCTATATGGGGAATCGAACCCGTGTCTTCGGCGTAACAAGCCAAGGCTTTAACCACTAGGCTACCCCACCGTCCCTACAGTAGGAGTAACAACTTGTCGCATAAGACTTGTAGTAACAGTAAAGATCGAAACGACTAGTACTCGGATCTCGCAAGATTCTCAGAGAAGAAGAATATAAGACCTGTAGTTACCTTGCATGAGTTTGTGACACCGGCTGCCAATGTAACCATGGTAGCAGATGCAGTCCGACGTCGTAGGGTTGTAAGTGCCGCCATGGAAACAGGGTCGTTCCGGGGACTGCAACAGAGGAAGACGTGGTCTGCGTCAAACTTGGTGGTAGAGAATGAGTTTGGTTTTACGTCGGTTTTAACAATATTCCAGCAATATCACGACTGGGGACCCCAGAAAAGGGCTTTACACATTGTACTTATGTGGGGAATCGAACCCGGGCCTTCGGCATGACGAGCGAACGCTTTTAACACTCGGCTACCCCACCGCCCCATTTTGTAAGAACTCGCTGGGCTTGCACTAGTCACATCAGCTTGTTTCATTCACATTAATTGGGACATATTTCATCATGTTTGAACAAATGCTATGTATTCATAGAAACAATCTGACAAATTATATGTACATGAAATTAATTTTACCGCGTATATTCATAACAATTTTTCCAAACATACATTTACACGTAAACTACAATCATATTCATGACGATGTGTGCATTCCTTTTGAAACTTCCATCTGTAAAATATGTCCCTAAAGTAAAGGGTTTTCGTAAAGTTTTCGTTCTGCATAAGGCATCCTGTGTCATTTACATGAAGGAAATCCTGAAATCAAATGCATACATTTTGGAAGTCGTTTTCGCTCTGCTTAAGCAGAAACACGTGATACATTATTTACTTATTAAGACATAAGTCTCACGTAAAATACTCACAATGTCGAGACTGAAATGGCGGAAGGTGCCGAAGGAACACCCGGTGTCTGTGAAGGTGGCGTTGTTCAAGTAGCAAACATTAGTCGTGGCCACAGGGATACTGAAAGCCTTACAATCAGCATCTTGGGAACATAGGATCGCGCAATGTATGACTGAACATGTTGCAATTGGTGTCTGTTTGTAGTTGAAAGCAAGCACATCAACACATGTTTCGACAAGATGGTATTCATCTTTGTTGAAAACCAGACTTGAAACTAAAGAAAACAATAAGGAAATCAGAACACACTCCATGAAGACAAGTCAGGCAATAATATCTGGGCAGGAAATGTTCAGCTCTCCGATCAGTCGAACGGTCAGCTCCCCGGAACATGCTTTGGTAAAAACGTCAACTTTTATACAAGTCTGAAGATAGTAACCGGCTGTCATTCGTTTAACTGACATTAATTGATGTTTGTATAACATGTCTGATGTGTACATAGACTTATAGATGAAAGTCAGTGACAATATCCTGTAGGGATGATAAATGGTAAATGAAGACTCGGTTGTCAAGGAATGGAATAAACATAATATGGACCAACAGTCTTCATGGCTCTATTTAGGAGACGGTTTCCTTTGTAACGGTTTGTGAAAATATGAGTTTGTGTGTCAATTGTATTAAAATCAATAAGACAGCAGGAAAGTACATTATTCTCTCTTACTATTATTATTGTTATAATGAATAATAATAATAAATCCGAACTTGTGTTAAGTCCACACAAACATTTCCCCTGTGTCGACAAGGGAACTACCTCAGAATTAAAAGAGTGAATGAGTTTAGTTTTACGCCACTTTTATTAACATTATTCCTGCAATATCACGGCGGGGACACCAGAAAGGGCTTCACACATTGTGGGGAATCGAACCCGGGTCTTCGGCGTGATGAGCGAACGCTTTAACCACTAGGCTATCCCACCGCCCCTAATCTTGTACAGTTGGTCCTACGACAAAGCGTATTTGTACAATATCCATATTAATTGCCATCTTTCCAAACACAAAAGATCATGGTTTTCGCCAAATGGAGCCCATGTGGGGAACCGAACCCGGATCTTCGGGGTGACGAGCTAACGCTTTAACCACTAGGCTACCTCACCGTCCCTGAATTATAAGGAAGACTGACTAGTCTTCATTTACAACAAAATCAAAATCCTTGTCAAGATCCAAGTCTTCTCGAGAATGATAGTCGTTTCACTCACAGAAAACAGCTGCTGATCGAGATAAAAAGTTGAAAGCGCTGAATGATATTTTCTGAAAAAATAATACTCTTATTTATTTTGGATGAAAAAGCTGTCGGTCATAAGGAACGGCAGAAAACAAAAAGTGGGTCCGAGTGGTTTTCAGTCGGCGTCGGGCCGAAGGACCGACACTAATTTCGAACGCTGAGTATCGATGTGAACATGTATATATAGTAAAAGATTATAATGGACAGACGAAGAGACAACAATGGACAGATAATGTATAGAACGTCAGAGCAACAGTGTTGACTATCCTCAGAAACAAATTCCGCTTAATGTAAAGCAGAAAATAGCTGTGAAAATTATATGGATGGCTCACAAAAAATTAGTGATGACACCAGGTGTTCGCAGAGCGGGTTAGGCGTCTGACTTTGTGCGACTCTGAGGGTGTGGGTTCGAATCCCGGAAGGGACTCAACCCACAAAAGTTCAAGAATCTAGATCTGTACTTTACTAAGAAAGTGTAATGTAATTTTACATATGTTACATTTGATTACTTTCTAAAAGACCGCCTCCGTGGTGTAGTGGTTAGAGCGTCCTCCCGGAGAGCGGAAGGTCGCGGGTTCGATCCCCGACCGCGTCATATCAAAAAGACGTTAAAATATGGTACTTGTTGGTCCCTGCCTGGCGCTCGGCATTAATGGGTACAACAAGGACTGGTCGGCTCGGAGTCAGTATAATGTGTCTGAGTGGGGTATTCCTGCTTCACTGCGGCATGGTATCTCAGTGGGCTAGCACTATAAAACCAGGTTAAGTCTGGGCTAGTACAAGCAGCCGCACATACACATACACACGCATGCACGTCGTCATATGAGCGAAATATTCTCAAGCACGACGTTAAATCCAATTTCACCTCCACCTCCATGGCATTGTGTATGAAAGTAAGCATGTACTGCCCTACCGGTAGCAGTCACTAAACATGTCTATAAATGGAAGTAGTTTTTGCCTGACGCTGCACAATAGAACTCCTGCCATGCGAGAGCGGTTTGAACACAAACAAGGCAATCAAATGATCGATGAACCGGAAACTCCACGACATATGATAAACAAATTCTCAAAGAGAGCGGATTCCGATTCAAACATAAATGGGGTGAGCGGGGCGGCACATCCTGTTCTTGGTCGATCCTACCCGGACTGACAGTGAAAATAATAACGATGATGATGAGGAGGATGAGGATGATGATTTAGGGATTTACGTGATTTGAAAATTACTGATGTAAACATATAAAGATAACAATAGACAGACTGACAACAATGGACCGATTAAGAGACATTGGCATAGCCTACTACTTAGTGATGTGACGTCAAACACTACCAAGGGGATGACCAATTAAGGTTATTAACATGGTTTGTAGTTCAGGTGACATTCATGCCATACCAGTGAGTGAGTGAGTGGGTACGGTTTTATGCCGCTTTTAGCAATATTCCAGCAACATCACGGCGGGGGACACCAGAAATTGGCTTCACACATTGTACCCATGTGGGAAATCGAACCCTGGCCTTCACCATGACGAGTGAACGCTTTAACCATTTGGTTACCCCATCGCCCCCATGTCATACTAAATCCAAAAGTACATAATAAATGTTGGATGTGGGACGCCCATTTTAGATGATTGTTCTAGTACAAGCAGGGTCGGTGGGGTTGCCTAATGGTTAAAGCGGTCAAGCCGAAAACCCGGGTTCGATTCCCTACTTGGGTACGATGTGTGAAGCCAGTTTCTGTTGTCCTCATCCGTGATATTGCTGGAATATTGCTAAAACGGCGTAAAACATTGCTGACTACTACAATCATTTCTAAACATTAGGTAACAATAATATGGATATCTATGTCTTTGCATACAGGTAAGACGTAGCCAATATTGAATGAATTATATATTGTAGATACATTTAAAAGGGATTCAACCCCAAAACAGTATTTGAACACCCTCTTCATGTTCAGTAAAACCCCATATTCCACATCTACAGGTTAACTTTGGGACACTTTTCTTGTCAAATATTTCGAAAGCATTGTTAGGGGATAAGAGGGTGAGTTTAGTTTTACGCCGCTTTTAGCAATATCCTAGTAATATCACGGCAGTGGACACCAAAAATGGGCTTCACAAATTGTACCCCTGGGGGAATCGAACCCGGGCCTTCGGCGCGATGAGAGAACGATTGTGAATACATGTAACTTGCGAAGTGATTTTGAAATATTCCATGGCCTCCGATGGCATTAGTAAGTAGGCTGTGAGCATGTCTGCTTTAGGTATGTTCTGTCTGTCAATACAATCTTGTAATGTGAAACTCCGTAACTGTAGCTTTTCATGTTCATCGCTGACTTGGTTGACACGTCATCGTATCACTATTGTGTAGATCGATGCTCATGATGTTGATCACGGGATTGTCTGATCCAGACTCGATTATTTACAGACCGCCGCCATGTGCCTGGATTATTGTTAAGTGCGGCGTTAAACAACAAACAAACAACATATATATTTTAATGCCAACATAAATATGCAATAGACGCAGAACTCCTGTCTTACTGAGACACACGATGTATTTCGCAAAGAAAAACCTGCGCAATTCACTGACGAAACCAGTTGTTTCACCATAGGGGAGAAACGGTACACTCTTACCAATGTACGTTACGGTACGTATTGCGGTACAAGGCCCTCGGTTCGGTCCGTTTCGCTTCGGTATATGAGATATGATCATAATGAAGATCATAATAATCATAATTGACAACAAGAGCCAAAAATTACATTGTTTGATAATATGGAAAAAATACCTTTGTTATTTTGAATGAACAAAACTGCCATTTTTTGGCTAGATAGAAGAACGGTACGAAAACCGAATTTTTGGATTGGGTTCCGTATACTGAACCGAAGGCAAAATACGGCGGTTCTACTAATACCGCGGTATCCCGTTTCACCCCTATTTTACTGATAAGATTGTTGTTTTGCAAAACTACAAACAGTAACTGACCAATGTATAACTTTATTCCCAAGTCAAAAGACATTTAACTGACGCTACAGGTCACTCTCAGATAATAAATATGACGCTTGCTTTTCAGAAGCTACTTCAGTTTAAGGGAACTCTAGAACAGGAAACAAAAGTATTTACCAATATTCATAATTTGAAATTATTCACCAGCTGATTAAATCAACGAATTAAGATCTACTTCTCTCTTAAACAGTTTGAATGATTTGTGCTGTTCGCGACCTTTGCTATATCACAATATTACAGCGGGGTAGGACAGATGGGGAATCGAAACCCTGCCATCGGCGTGACTGCAGACACTACATGTGGTCTTACCTTAGGCAAGAAAGTTCGTTTAAAATCGCCTCTTTTCGCCCAGAAGAAAAATGGGTACCCGGTGGGATAAGTCATGTAACCTTCTAGCGCCTCACAGGGAGCTTTGGTTATCCGGGGCCATAATAATCAGATGACTTTGTGATGCGCCGCTGAACAGCTTCGAGTTGGATACCCAGCGCCATAGAAATCAATTATTATTATTATCATTATTATTACTAGGCTAAACGTAACACCGGTATAAGCGTTGATAGATGACAGATGAATGGATGGAATCCTGATACAGTTTAATTTCCAGAATGTTACAAAATTGAGTCAGCAGTGAAGGTGGGTAGTTTTGGAACCATCTTCCGGATCCGCTCATCATATGCCATCCTGGTGCCCATGAGAGGTGCCAGCCGTTGGTGCTTGGTTACCCATGATAGGAAAGCAGTAGTTTCACCTCAAGGGCCGGTAAATCTCCATCGATTGTCATGCGAACATAGATTGGATCGGTTGTCTGGGTCAGCTCGGACGTTGGTTGTAGTTTCCCGGTCGGGTTGCATGGCCCGCAGTTCTTGTACCACCAGCCGGAGAGGTGAGTCTTAGCGCAGTTGCCGACCTTGGTGTCCCTGTCATTGTCGATTGTGGAGAAAGGGAGTCCCTTTACCTCTGTTAGACAGTCTCCAAGTGCTGCTTCTCCCGGTTTTGTTTCGTGTGATGAGAAGTTGAAACGATAACCGTCAGATTCACTGGACAACTGAAAAGTGAAATATACACGTGCATATACGTTCATATGTCCACGTGACACATCTTCCAGTTTAAAGCTTCTTTTTCATATGGCATAACATTTCAGCACTTAAATATAAATGATTATATATACTTTCATTTTAAGAAAAATGAGAGTATATTTTTAAACACTGATATTAAATACTAAAAAAATTCCATTTTGTTTCACATATGAATAAACTTGATTTATTCGTGTACGATTCCCCTTTAACCTGTGGCTATCCGGGTTAGAATAGGTCTTCATCATGACAGTTGTGAGAAGCGACTGACGGGATTGGGTGATTCGAGTCTGGACCAGACAATCCAGTGACTGACATCATTTGATTGTCCCTCGTGTCAGTCAGTCTTTATTGTCCTGAGATGGTAATATAGCTTTCGAACCTCAACCATATTATTGTTCTTTTGTTAGATGTAGCTATTTTATGTTGCATCCTAAGGCAAATCAATGCCATCAAATACAAAGATAATATAAACACATCATTTACTGCGAGAGTGCTAACACACAACACCTGTCAAACGACTGCCACTGTGATCGTTCGGGTAGAGTGTCAGTTCGGACGGTGCAAAGTCGGGGCCGAACGTTCAGACATAACGGCATATTTACTGTTACCCTGGCTCGGCCAGCTCGGCGTGTAGTATTCACGTTAAAGTGCGACATGGCATCTTAATTGGGACTTATAAAACCAATACAAGTCCGGACAGGTACTAGCACTCGTACGGACGCACGCACGAACGAACGCACACAAGTTCATAAGTGCAGTTAAAACTTAATTACAGTTCAACCTGAATGATACTGACTTTCTTATGTACTCACTTTAAAATCGTTGTAGAAACGCTGCCTGAAAGATGTTTGTTTTTCATACCCATTGGTCTTCACGACCACCTTCAAGACCATGTTGCGGTGGTTGGTCAGGTAGTAGAACTTCTCCAGCCCCAGCCAGAGATTGCCCTCAAGGTCACCGAATCCATCTTTGTACTCCGTGAAGGTTCTGTTGAAGTCCACATAAGGGGCATCTGGAGTTATGCGAAGTATGGTAAGCTTGCCCTTGTGCACCATCTCACAGAAGACCTTGAAGGGGTAGGGTGATGTGGTTGGGTGGATGCTGAACACTGTTTTTTCTTTATTGTAATATGGTAGGGTCCAGCCTTCACTACAGTCTGCAAACAAGACAGCAGGAGGTCCATCTGCACAGTGAGATCTTATCTAATGAATACACGAAGTAGATCATTGAAAGATTGACTGACTGACTGAGTTTAGTTTTACGCCGCTTTTAGCAATATTCCAGCAATATCACGGCGGGGGACACCAGAAATGGGCTTCACACATGGTGCCCATGTGGGGAGATCATTGAAAGATATACAGGTATTGAAGTAGCTGAATGTATGTTATCGAGTTACAGCTATAAAATATTATATACACTCTTACAAAAAGTAGGGGAATAGGAAAGGATAGGAAGTATATGCGTTAACAAACTTTTCAAATACAGAAGGTATAACCATTTCTCTGTATCATCCCTAAACACAACACAGTAGCCCCATACACGTGCATGGGGTGTCATTCTTGATTTTGACGGTTTACAAGAAGGTCGATAAATCAATGTGGACCATTAATTTTGACATCTTGCATCACACAGTTGTTAGTGTTTGTTTCTAGCCGGATTGTTTTGGTTTGAAACTGAATATCGTACACATGCAAATTTCTCGTCACACAGAAACAAACACTAACAACTGTGTGATGCATGAAGTCAAAATTAATGGTTCACATTGATTTATCCATTGACTGTAACATATATCATTATTGACTAATCGACGCTAGTGAAGGTTCCGACTGACCAAGATTAACCATGTCATATGGAATCATGCCTCATCATCTGTATATTATGACAGACTGTAGAGGTTTTTCTGTGAAGCTGATGAAGTGTGATGAGCACAACACGAGCATCTGGGTGCCGTTGTACAAAGCGATCTCAGCGATAAGGTGACTGTAACTCCCATACCTCAACATAGACTTAAGGTAGTCTTAGCGCTAAGGTTGTTTTGTACAACCGCACCCTGGATTTTTGTAATTTCAATTTTATCTGATTCTACAACAATATTTGCATTTGAAAGTACAATTAAACTGATACGTCATTAATATATTTATGACAACTTTATGATTGTGATATATAGTAAAACAATAAAGCAATAACGTTTGATTCATCTAGTATGATTGTTGGCCAAATGGGCGAATTGCTTTGAGTGAGTTTAGTTTTACGCCGCACTCAGCAGTAGTCCAGCTATATGGCGGTGGTCTGTACATAATCGAGTCTGGACCTGACAATCCAATGATCAACAGCATGAGCATCGATCTACGCAATTGGGATACAATGACATGTGTCAGCCAAGTTAGTCGATCCCGTTAGTCGCCTCTCACGACAAGCATGGGCTACTGAAAACCAATTTTAACCCGTTAGTCGCCTCGTACGACAAGCAAGGGTTACTGAAGATCATTTCTTACCCGGATCTTCACGGGTGGGAAACTGTATGGTGAGGACAAAAATAAAGATGATAATCTGGGCGAATATTGGGAATCGAACCCAGCGTATTGCGCCAATTGGACAACTAGACTAACCGTTCACCAAGCTGAGAATCGATTACCTTCCATGAGTTTATGGCACCATTTGCCTATGTAACCATGGTAACAGATGCAGTCTGACGTGTTAGTGTTGTAGATGCCACCATGCCAACAAGGTCGTTCTGGGGACTGCAACAGAAATATCCGTATGAATATCAGAAGTATGATGTCAGATGTTATGACCACCGACGATCTTGAAGGACGACAGGGTTAAGATGGAACATTTCACATTTTAAATTGGTTCTCAGTAATACCGCCACAATTTGTCAAACATGTATTCACTTGAGGAGGCATACTGCGTATGAGGTTCCCCGTTGGCAATTTTAGGAAGTCTGTAACAGTTCTCAAGCAGCGCCTTCACCTGGTCTAGTTAAGCCAACGTGGCCAATGGGCTTCACACATTGTACCATGTGGGGCATCGAACACGGGTCTTCAACGTGACGAGCGGACGCTTTAACCAGTAAGCTACCCCACCGCTCCCCGTGTACATAACTCACCGTACAAATATTATTTTTATCTAAGGGGCGGTGGGGTAGCCAATTGGTTAAAGCGTTCGCTCGTCACGCCAAAGGCTCGGGTTCGATTCCCCATATCGGCACAATCTGTGAAGCCCAATTTTGGTGTCCCCCGCCGTGATATTGCTTGAGTACTGCGGTGTAAAACTAAACACTAAACACTCGCTCATTTTCTGTCTAAACTTACCTTTCCCATACTGAAGTGTTGGAATGTCCCATAGGAACACTGGGTATGTATAAATATGGCGCTATTCAAACAGCACACGTCGGGAGCCGTCACAGAAATACTGAAGGACATGCAGTTAGGGTCTTCAGAGCAAGCTACAGCACACTGAATCCTCGACGTCATCGATACATTCTTGTAGTTGAACGTTGGTAAATCCACGCATGTCTTGACTTGTTTGTAAGCCTTTTCATCAATAGTAACACTTTGGACCACGAGGACCCATAGGGGTATGATCAAGAACCATCTCATTGACGTGCCGGGCATCCAGAGGTGTGCTCTTGGTCGACTCCCAAGACCTTATGGACATGTTTCCTATTAGTGCTACCAGCGTTTAGAGTCATATAGAAAACACTAATAACATTCTGATACAACCAACAAAACTCATCAGTAACAGTCACGTGTCTAATGTTTTTGAATGTATTTATGTTCGGAAACACGGCTTAACAATGGCTTTTTCTTTAATAACTAAGCTGCACGTCTCACGGGAAATATTCTGCGTTGAGGATAATATTGACGATGATAGTCAAGCAGTGCCAAAGGTAATAACTTCTTATGAAAAAAGAACAAATGTTCCTTTATTGCTTCTGACAATAATTTCCACTGATCAGTTGCTTGTACAATAGCATTTATTGCCTATGTCAGATCTGTCCAACATTTTGTGAATGGTGTACTGCAGTATGGTTGTTCTGTTGTGTGAGGTCTTTGGCGACAATCAGTGACTGCAGCTGACAAAACGTATCAACAGTGTACATCATAGCAACGAAAATTCAATATTGTCCCGGTTACATAGTACAGAGGATCAAATGTCCGGTTCTTTGTGTACGTGGAATCTCATCATTGCAACGTTCAAAGGCTGTGACGACTGATATTGGTTGGATGACACACAGGGACAAAGGTCTGGAAGGTGTAGCATATGAACTACAGCAGCTGTTATCAAATGTTAACAGGCATTTGGAATTGCCGACAGGTCCGTTCCCTGAAAGAGATGCTTTCAAATAAATGTTGTCTTTCTCAGTGATTCAAATATGAACAGAATCGTGGCGTTGATTCGACGCCTGAAATGTTTGGTAGCAAGTGCGTTAGCTGGAGTTTTAAACAGTTCAAATTTCTATGCGACGAATACTCAATAACAATTCTGAAAATGCATAACATTTATACAGATACAACAGATGATACATGCTTCAATGCAGTGTGCGAAATAGCCACTGGCCATGGCCCGCTAACCCGTGGCTAGTAATATTCCAGTCGGGCGAGTAAATCTCCACAGTCACTTGCCCTACTGGCTAGTGAATTTCCATGGGGTCATTGTGTAAATATCTCTCCGACTTGTTAAGTTATTATATACACTTTTAAATCATGCAAGATTATGGCCTGATAAAAAATTTCATCATATTAGCAGCTTAATGATGAAACCCTTGTCATACCGACAATATCTTATTCTCATCTATTTTTTGTAATCTTTTACTTAGTTTCTACATTCAAATTTCTGGCTAGTGAATTATTTTGTGGGCTAGTAACTTTCAGACATAGCTAGCCAGACTGGTAGCAAAATTTTGAAACCATTTCGCACACTGTTCACTGAGCTACAGACGATTCTTAATCGGCTACACAGATGGAAACTGCATGCTCGACGCCTACATGTACGTGTTCATCGTTACATAACTGAAAGACTTCGTTGGTGTCAAGAGCGGAAGTCCTAAACCGTTCGCTGTTGGGTAAAAACGTAGTTTTTTGGTAAACTAAAAACTAGAGGTGTGACGATACGGAAATGTCACGATACGATACGTATCTTGGAACGATACGATTCGATTCGATGCATATCACGATGTGCTATTTTAGTTATTTTCTTTAAAAAAGTATATTTGTATATCTTGATAGCAAATAACAGTGTAATTTTTTACATAACCGTCAATTTCTAGTGAACATTAACAATATTCGGGTGAACGATTCATATCACGATACAAAACAAAAGTATCGATATATTTATTGTCAGATAAAGTATCACGATTATCGATACTATGATATATCGTCACAGCTCTACTAAAAACTAGTCTCTGTAATGAACATATTTTACAGAAAAAAAGTTCATAGTAAACAAAATAAAATATAATGAACATGAGCCCTGAGACTTTCTTCATTTTCAGAAGCTGTGGAAATCTAGACTTGCCACATTTTCTAGACCTACGTGGGCTTTCTTGGATATATTTGCTTCAGGGTCTGAATGACAGACTAAGTTTTAGGGTGAATCAAGGTTTAGTTCGGAATTCAGGCGCAACATAAGGTGGTGTAAATTGATTGTCTTCATGCCGCTATCGTTACACAGAACGGGGTTGATGGCATCACTGCCACTGGCAGAAGACCTCAACATGTTATTCAGGGCCCTTTCACTGGGTAATACACGGGCCTGTTTGCGATGAATACATGTACATAAATTCATTATGACAGTCAGGTGTAAGCGTCTCCGAAGGAATGGCGATTAGCGCGCTGGCAAGTGCCATCATTTCAACATGTTTTGGCGCATGTCGTTTGAGTATAGTGTGAAATAAACAAGAAGATCGGTGAGTTACCGCTACAAATTCTGAGCAGGGATTTTGGCTCGGAATCGGTTTTTGAGCTTCCGAAGACCCTAGCTCCCAAAGTACTGCTTAAAGTTTTGAGCTGTATGTCTCATTTTGTAGGTACATCTCTTGGCTTGAAATGTCTGCGACTTTTAATGGGATAAATACAGTGAGCATTGTTGAAATCGCCCTGAAACGAACTTGTGTTGACCTCGTTACAACCCTTTCCTTTTATATAGTGCTAAGACCCCGTTAGTGACAGTGCATACTTTGATGGCGTTTTTTAGCGTTACAAGCCCCTGTGTAGTCGACAGACTGGGATTTGTGATCGAGCCATCTAAATCAATATCTTGAAAGACGTTATTCCCTTCTCAAAGGCAGCAAGACTAATTCATGATGCAGACTGTACGTCTTTGAAGGTCTAATTGCTTGTGGGAATAACGTCCGAAAAAAATGTCATATTTTTTACTTATTCTTTGATTCGCATGTATTGACTCAGTGGCGTATTCAGTATTTACATTGTTTCTGCAAAATATGTTTTAATGAAAGTGAAATATTAGTATTTTTTATATGCAACCAGAACAGCCATTTCAAGTTTCGACTCTAAGCTTCCGATTGATGAAATTGTAAGGCCGTACGCCCAAGTTCAAAATGAGTGTGAGTGAGTGAGTGAATGAGTTTAGTTTTATGCAGCACTGTAAATAATCGTGTCTGGACCGGATAATCCAGTTGTCAACAGCATGAGCGTCGATCTATGCAATTGCGATACGATGACATGTGTCAACCAAGTCAGTAAGCCTGACCATCCGATTACGTTAGTCGCCTCTTACGCCAAGCATTGGTTGCTGAAGACCTATTCTAACCCGGATCTTCAGCAGTTCAGAATGAGAGAACTGGAGTGACGTGATCAATGTGAAAAATATAACTAACCGAGACTCAGTTTTTAAGGTTTATTCATGTCAGTGTTACGATCAAAGGTTTTTGGAACAAAGATACATGCTCACACAAAACACTACACAATGTATCACAAAAGATAAATGTTGGAAACGATGAGTATATTCCAGTCCAACAGTCATCAGTCAACGCACATGTAATTTCATACTCATGAATATTCATGAATGATGCATCTACACGTATGGTATAAGACTACAGTCTACAGTCTCCCAAAGGTACCAGCTCATCAGATAGGTCTTCAGTACAGTGTTCCCCAATTAGGGGTCATGTATGAATACACAATCATCATTGAGGCATCCCTTAAATGTGATATGGGACTAAACATTGTAAATGTGCACACAATTTTTATTTCGTTTGTTAACATAAAGTTTATTTTTTGACATTTCTCGCCGCGAATAGCTGCAATATTGATGATTAAGCAATATTTACTGGCGCACTAACCCGCTAAGATATAGGGCCGCACCTACGAAACATGGGTCCAATCTCTCTGACTCGCCAATAACCAGTTACAACTTCACACCTTTGGTTTCAGGGAATACATTGAAAATGTAAACATTTACGAAAGACAACTATATAGACGAAGGTGAATTTTAACTCACAATCACATGGGCGTGTATATTTGGATAGGGTAGGCTAAAATACAGCTAAACTCATGATATCTGGGAGAACCGTTTCGGCCTCATCTCCTTGCCACCCCATTTCAGAACAAATCAGAAATCCACACAGAGCAATACCCCTTCCGCGGCATTTCCCTCTGTAGTATTTTCCTGGGATCATAGTTATAAAAATATCTCCTTGAAAGATAAATACAACAAAATTAAAACTTTTAGTTCAGTATATTTTGATTAGGCTTCGTACCATAGAGCTTCTTTAAGAGAATAAGAAAACTCCTATAAGTAATTACTTGACTTTTGTCCATTATGGCATTGTGTGTAGATTTCAAATTTGAAACTGAAAGTTAACCAGACTCTATACGTGAAACTAGGAAGCAACAAAATGTTACTTTATGTACAGGGTTTTAGGAAACTTGCTTGAATTCTCTTCATGGGAATAGCTGGAGGGTCATTCACAAAAACTATAAACAATTAGTTCGACACACTCACTGATTACAAACCATCAATCGTTAATCCAGAAACTGATCATTTGTTTTTTGGTGTTGTCAAGAGTCAACAAGAGAACCAGCTTAGAATCATACGTTGATAAAAACGAAGGAATACCTTGAGTCCAAACGTCTTCAGTAGCTTGTGCTATAAACAGGTTACATTAAGGACTAATAGCTCAGAGTCATACGTTGACAAAGGTGAAGGAATACGTTGAGTTCAAACGTCTTCAGTAGCTTGGGCAATAAACAGGTAACATTAAGGAATAATAGCTCAGAATCATACGTTGACAAAGGTGAAGGAATACCTTGAGTCCAAACGTCTTCAGTAGCTTGGGCAATAAACAGGTAACATTAAGGAAAAATAGCTCAGAATCATACGTTGACAAAGGTGAAGGAATACATAAAGTTGAGTTCAAACGTCTTCGGTAGCTTGGGCAATAAACAGGTAACATTAAAGAATAATAGCTCAGAATCATACGTTGACAAAGGTGAAGGAATACCTTGAGAACGAACGTCTTCCGTTGCTTGAGCAATAAACAGGTAATATTAAGAAAAATATAGCTCAGAATCATACGTTGACAAAGGTGAAGGAATACCTTGAGTCCAAACGTCTTCAGTAGCTTGGGCAATAAACAGGTAACATTAAAGAATAATAGCTCAGAATCATACGTTGACAAAGGTGAAGGAATACATAAAGTTGAGTTCAAACGTCTTCGGTAGCTTGGGCAATAAACAGGTAACATTAAAGAATAATAGCTCAGAATCATACGTTGACAAAGGTGAAGGAATACCTTGAGAACGAACGTCTTCCGTTGCTTGAGCAATAAACAGGTAACATTAAGGAAAAATAGCTCAGAATCATACGTTGACAAAGGTGAAGGAATACGTTGAGTTCAAACGTCTTCGATAGCTTGGGCAATAAACAGGTAACATTAAGGAATAATAGCTCAGAATCATACGTTGACAAAGGTGAAGGAATACCTTGAGAACGAACGTCTTCCGTTGCTTGAGCAATAAACAGGTAACATTAAGAAAAATAGCTCAGAATCATACGTTGACAAAGGTGAAGGAATACCTTGAGTCCAAACGTCTTCAGTAGCTTGGGCAATAAACAGGTAACATTAAGGAATAATAGCTCAAAATCATACGTTGATAAAGGTGAAGGAATACCTTGAGTCCAAACGTCTTCAGTAGCTTGGGCAATAAACAGGTAACATTAAGGAAAAATAGCTCAGAATCATACGTTGACAAAGGTGAAGGAATACGTGAGAACGAACGTCTTCCGTTGCTTGAGCAATAAACAGGTAATATTAAGAAAAATATAGCTCAGAATCATACGTTGACAAAGATGAAGGAATACCTTGAGTCCAAACGTCTTCAGTAGCTTGGGCAATAAACAGGTAACTTTAAGGAAAAATAGCTCAGAATCATACGTTGACAAAGGTGAAGGAATACGTGAGAACGAACGTCTTCCGTTGCTTGAGCAATAAACAGGTAATATTAAGAAAAATATAGCTCAGAATCATACGTTGACAAAGATGAAGGAATACCTTGAGTCCAAACGTCTTCAGTAGCTTGGGCAATAAACAGGTAACATTAAAGAATAATAGCTCAGAATCATACGTTGACAAAGGTGAAGGAATACATAAAGTTAAGTTCAAACGTCTTCGGTAGCTTGGGCAATAAACAGGTAACATTAAGGAATAATAGCTCAGAATCATACGTTGACAAAGGTGAAGGAATACGTTGAGAACGAACGTCTTCCGTTGCTTGAGCAATAAACAGGTAACATTAAGAAAAAAATAGCTCAGAATCATACGTTGACAAAGGTGAAAGAATACCTTGAGTCCAAACGTCTTCGGTAGCTTGGGCAATAAACAGGTAACATTAAGGAATAAAAGCTCAAAATCATACGTTGACAAAGGTTAAGGAATACCTTGAGTCCAAACGTCTTCAGTAGCTTGGGCAATAAACAGGTAACATTAAGGAAAAATAGCTCAGAATCATAAGTTGACAAAGGTGATGGAATACGTTGAGAACGAATGTCTTCCGTTGCTTGAGCAATAAACAGGTAACATTAAGAAACAAATAGCTCAGAATCATACGTTGACAAAGATGAAGGAATACCTTGAGTCCAAACGTCTTCAGTAGCTTGGGCAATAAACAGGTAACATTAAGGAATAATAGCTCAAAATCATACGTTGACAAAGGTGAAGGAATACCTTGAGTCCAAACGTCTTCAGTAGCTTGGGCAATAAACAGGTAACATTAAGGAAAAATAGCTCAGAATCATACGTTGACAAAGGTGAAGGAATACGTTGAGAACAAACGTCTTCCGTTGCTTGTGCAATAAACAGGTAACATTAAGAAAAAATAGCTCAGAATCATACGTTGACAAAGGTGAAGGAATACCTTGAGTCCAAACGTCTTCAGTAGCTTGGGCAATAGACAGGTAACATTAAGGAATAATAGCTCAGAATCATACGTTGACAAAGGTGAAGGAATACCTTGAGAACGAACGTCTTCCGTTGCTTATGCAATAAACAGATTACATAAAGAACGTTGAGCAGTGAATATAACTTTACTAGGACGGGACAATTCTACTCACGTTCGTACATACAGGTGCCAGCGGAATACTAGACTGCCTGACAATAGAAATGTAGTTAAAGACAAGATGGACATAGAAAGAAAAAACATCATTGCCTTGGACTTATTGGCGTGGTGACAAAGACGGCCAAGGGAATAACCAATTAAGGTTATAAATGCCATACACAGTAACTAATGAGAGTGACAGAGCGGTACGGGTTGACCGAGAAGTCAATGTACAATCCGGTTGGTTAGAGCATTAAGAATGGAGATTAGCGTCATATGAATACCGTATTTCCTCTTTTAAGCGTCGGATCTCTATTAACCGCCGGGGATAAAGCAGTTCTTTAAGAAATAAGCGCCGGGCCTCTAATAAGCGCCGGGTCTCTGATAAGCGCCGGGTATAGACCTTTGCAGTTTTTCGCAAATGTATTCTCCCTTGGTCTAAAAATATATATATTAAGGAATGGTCCCTTAAATCATAACTTCATGTACTCATCCCCGCTTATAAAAAATACAGGGTATTTTAATAAGCGCCGGGCCTCTAATAAGCGTCGGGTCTGGAGGTCCGTTGAAAAAATAAGCGCCGAAGGCGCTTATTGGAGGAAATACGGTAATTGCATATGACGCTAATCTCCATTCTTAATGCTCATCAGAAATCAGAAGGGATTACGTACATTGTGGCGATTGTATTATAATTGACTTTGGAGATTGGATTATCAACAACATGTGTAAGTATAGACGTTTTGGGTTTGCATCTCATTCTTTATGTCCAAGAAATGATGATGCTTGCAACTTCCCCGTCTTGTGGTTACAAACAAGATGGGGTAGCCTAGTGGTTAAAGCTTTCGCTCTGGTCAAATCAGTTGAAGGAAAGCAACAATGAGCTCGGAGAGTCGTTGGATGGGTGACCGTGTTTGGCAGCATGACACCTGAGAATAACATGTGATACATGTGGTCACACCTTAGGCAAGTGAGTTTGTTCAAAATTGCCTCTGTTCACTCAGCAGAAAATGGGTACCCGGTGGGATAAGTCATATAACTATAAGCTTCTAGCGCCTCACAGGGCAAGGGTTATGGGTTATCCGGGGTAATAATGTTGTGCTGTTTGTACACGCTTTGAGCATACCCCTTTGTGGTGTGGAGTATTGTGCGGTATGAGTAGCCTCATTATTATTATTAACATGGTGTGAATTATTGTCGTATATAACACATGATAGTAGAGGATATCCATGTGTCGAATTTGGCCGTTCTCCGTGAAGAGCAAACGCTTTGTCAACTAGGCTGCACGAGTGTGTTGTTATCAGAAAACCTCTAGTGATAACTTCACGATTCGCGGTGCCCAGTTGTGTACGACAGGTACTTTCACGTATGTCGGATCCGAGTTCTGGAATAACTCTGAATGGGGCTGCAGTTTTCCTGTCGGGTTGCAACCACCGCAGTTGTTGTACCACCAGCCCGACTGATGTATTTGTGCGCAGTTCCCGCCAACGTTGAGGTCGTTGTCGCGGTCGATGGTGGTGAACATCATGTCTCCCTGCTGTCCCATGCAGTTGCCGAGTTGGTGATCAACTTCGTCGTGTTGGTGGGCACCCTGATGTGAAGCCTTGTAACCACTTGCTTCGTCAGATATCTGGAAAATAATCGGAGCGATTAAGTAAGAGTAAGTTGCGATAAAAGCAAGTATTTCAGTCACATCTTGTGTCTTGTAAGAGGAAAGTTCGAAGTGATGTTGATCTACAATATTTAACACTTTGTTAAAAACACACCTGCATGAGTATGGAGTTCACAAACCATGAATGGTAATCAGGGATTCGAACCCATGATCTGACTAAAGATTCTTGTACTCTGGGGGACATCACACATAATTTGAATAACATGTGACAATGAAATTATACCTTTGTGCTTTTGCTAAACCAAGAGTTGTCGGGTAAGTGAGTTGTCCTGCACAGACATACCTGAAAATATAATGGGGCCGAACTGGGATTCAAACCCACGGTCAAATGCATTTGGTGAGGGACTAATGAGGGCACCTTAGTCTACTGGGCCACCTATGCTTCAGCAAATGAAATTAAGAAACAGAAAATAGATGTAATAGTTGACCGTGGAAAGTATCTTGACAAATGGGTACCGAGAATATGAACGACACGTTTACGTTGATCTAATGTATAGTTACAGAGTGTGTTTTTGGTTCTCTCTCCTCCGAGATTGTTATCATCTGCACGTATCTTGGACTACAAATGAGTGACATAATTCCCTTGCTCCTGAAAAGACTAGCGACCTATAGGGTGTTTCCAGGTGGCCTTGTACCTCTGAAACCACTTGTAACATTTGCAACAATGTCTAATCTCTGCCTTCGAAACGCCCGACCCGGGTTCGATTCCCCACATGGGTACAATGTGTGAAGCCCTTTTCTTGTGTCCCCCATCGTGATATTGCCTGAATATTTCTAAAAGCGGCCTAAAACCAAACTCACTCACTCTAACCTCTCCCGGTTGCTCTGGTGTTTGTATTTCACAGCTTTCTACCAATTTTAGAGAGCGCCTAAAGAAATGGTTGATTGAGGTTACTACTTTCAAGCCACAGTAAATCTTTTCAAAATGACATCCGATGCATGTGGACATATTGTCCTGTATTTATAGTCCCGGTTGGAAAATGGGGACGTAACGAACAGAATGTCCGGCCGAATGTTTGGCCTGAATGTTTGCCCGTTTTAAAATCCAGAACAGAACCAATAAAATGGTTGAATATGTTGCATGAAACTTGCCGCACAGATCAGGCTGGTCGTGAAGTGCCTATTGATAATTTGTGATGTTTCATGTTTTCGTAATGACAAGTTGGCCTAAAACTGGAAAAGAGGTTTGGTTTTGTAGAAAGGCTATCTGTCAGCAACAACTAGGTATTGCAACTATTTGCCAGTAATTCAAAAACAAATGCTTATGATAATGTCTGAATTATATAAATGACTTTGCTTTTCGTTGAGTTTTCTTATGATTACTGAAGTTTTTTATCGCTTTTCTTTCATAACAGTTCTCAAACTTGGCGACAGTAAATATGCCTGATAAGTTAATGACTCATTTAGGATACATAAACATGGTCGACGGTAGGTAAACACGATCGTGAATTTATAATCAAACTATTTAAGTCTTTAGATATATAGTCAAGACCCCTAGGAAAACAACACATTGATGTAAAGGCTTCCTAGCTTGTCCTTATTAAACACTGTACTAGCATTGCCTTGCGAACTTCACTAATCTTTAAAAGTAATTAGCGGTCTATTGACATATGCTGTAGCAATAACAATGGAGGTGCAGAATACATAGACTGGGTATACATTCAAACAACTACAGACAGCAGGGGCTGTTAAACTGAGAAAACAGCGTTTAATATACATCAGTAAGAGCCTTAAACCTCCTAGCAGAGACCTTGCCCGAAAACGCTTCAGTCCAAAGGTCTTCACACAAACGATAAAGTAAACGTGTAAGTCAAGTGTACGATCAAGTCAACATTTTAATGAGGACACTATTTCAAAATGGACACTAGGGGCATGTGTCAATAGTCATAACAATGTTCTTATGTGACTCAATGAGCAACATTCCATAAGCGTCAAACAATTTTTTATGTTTTCATTATCCTTTCAAATTTCTTGTCTCTGGGACAAATTATTAAAAACTTATTAAAATCTCTTACGTTCTGCACAATGATGTCAATGAGTTGTAGCACATTTCGAATGGCGGTGTTCGGGACAATGGTCTAATTGAATTCAATGTTCTAATTGAATCCAAATAGAGAATAAATCAACACGTATTTATCCACATTGACGTATGCAGTAAGGTTAAGGATCATGTTCCACAAACAGACCCTTTTACCAGACAATGGCCTTGAGTTTTTAATGATGTTAAAGTATCCGTAATAAGTTTTTCGGCTAACCCTTTAAATTGTAGTATTCCTTTCATAAACAGTGCAAAGCACATTTCAACTCTATCATGTGATTGAGTTTAGTCTTACGCCTCTTTTAGCAATATTCCAGCAACATCACGGCGGGGGACACCAGAAATTGGCTTCACATATTGTACCCATGTGGGGAATCGAACCCGGGTCTTCGGCGTGATTGGCGAACGGTCTGTAAATAATCGAGTCTGGACCAGATAATCCAGTGATCAACAGCATGAGCATCGATCTGCGCAATTGGGAACCGATGACATGTGTCAACCAAGTCAGCGAGCCTGACCACCCGATCCCGTTAGTCGCCTCTTACGACAAGCATAGTCGCCTTTTGTGGCAAGCATGGGTTGCTGAAGACATATTCTACCCCGGATCTTCACGGGTCTATAAGGAATATGAAGTAATGTAAAACGACATAAACACATAGTCTTCTTACTGATTACCTTAAATGAACTGTAGAAGTGTTGCCTGTAATTCCAGCTCTCCCCATAGACTATCTGGATATTTAAGGTCACATTCCGATAGTTTGACACAAAGAATAGTCTCTCATTGCCAAGCCAGAAGTTTTCGCCCGCCTCCAGGTTCCCAAAGCCTGCCTTGTACTCGTCCCAAGTGCGGTTGAAGTCTTCAGAACTATACCACGTCGCCGTTCTCATTATAATGAGCACCCCGCTCAACGTCATTTGGCAAAACACCTTGAACTGCGAGGGTGAGTTAGGTGGGTGAATATAAAATTCACCCTCCACCCCATCGTAATGCCCAGAATGATAGCCATCGTAACAATCTGAAATAGTAATTTATGTCAGTATTTTATTCCCTTACATTGCATCACAAAATGTTGACCGTACGCAGTTAACAGTGAGTGAGTATGGTTTTACGACGCTTTTAGCAATATTCCAGCAATATCACGGAGGGGGACACCAGAAATGGGCTTCACACATTGTACCCATGTGGGCAATCAAACCCGGGTCTTCGGCGTGACGAGCGAACGCTTTAACCACTAGGCTACCCCACCGCCTCTAATCAGTTAACAGCTACACAAGGATACATGATGTCGTTAGGTGTTATTTAAAGGTAATCAACAACAGCATTCATGTCTGAACGAGTGGTCGACAATATGAACATCAAGGTCCATTTTCCATGACAGAGTCACTCGTATTCGCCTAAACACAAAGATGATGTAGCCGACCAGTAAGATTCGCCATGGCTATAATTTTGTTGAGTGAGTGAGTGAGTTTAGTTTTACGCCGCACCCAGAAATATTCCAGCTATATGACGGAGGTCTGTAAATAATCGAGTCTGGACCAGACAATCCAGTGATCAACAGTTTGAGCATCGATCTGCGCAACTGGGATACGATGACACCAGAAATGGGCTTCACATTGTACCAATGTGAGGTCTAACTCAGATCGTCCCTGGTATTCAAGACAGTAATGGACAGAGCCTGGTGAACCGCCCACGCACTTCCCCACTCACTCACTCACCCGAACTCACTCACTCACCCGAACTCACTCACTCACCGTACATGAGCCTCTCACAGTACTCTCCCACGTAACTGTTGATACATCGGCATTTCTGTGTGGTGCTGTTATAGATCCCTCCATGGAGACAGGGGTTATCCTACATAATAAAAGAACACATCACGACTAAGGCAAACAACTTCGCACAACAGTTAGAGGCCGCCACCGCCCGCCCCTCAAGGATCACGCTGGATTGCATTGTGTTATATTTTGTAAACGTAGATTGTTCAAAATATGGGATTGACGAACCACAACAGAGACTTCGTAGTGAGTGAGTGATTATGGTTTTGTGCCGCTTTTAGCAATATTCATGCAATATCACAGCTGGGGACACCAAGAATGGGCTTCTCACATTGTACCCATGTGAGGAATCCAACCTGGGTCCTCGGCGTGAGGAGCGAACGCTTTAACCACTAGGCAACCCAAACGCCCGACTTCGTAGTGGGGAAATTACGGAGAAGATCAGCTTGAAAATGAAAAAAGGATATGTTCAGTAATAAACGCCCAGGGCGATTTCGTAAAATAATAGAAAAGGTCCTTATTATAATGGCTTATACTGTGCAAAAAATACACACAGACTTACATCCTTGAATAATAATTGTAAGGAAGTAATAAGAGTTCAAAGGAAAATTCACTTGCATACATATTAAATATATGCATACCAAGTAAAAATACAAATGCAGTACTTATTATTATAAATGAAATCTAACCGATGCAGTACATTATTTTCGGTACTGTTTAAGAACGAATCTAACTATAGACTTGATCTAATATCTGTCAACAGTCAGCCATACAATACTGCAGATTTCGTAACTTACCTGCATTACGTTGTAGTGCGCATGCGTCACGGAGGAACACCCGGTGTCAACCAGGATGTCGTTATTCAGGTAACACATCCTCGGTAGCCTTCTACTAATACTGAATGATTTACAGTTTTTCGTAACCATACAAAACGAGGCACAGCCTATCTTAGATTTCACCAGTTTTGTTTGAATAATCACGTTTGGTGCCACCGAACATATGCCCACTTTCTCAAAAAAGTTTGAAGTCATGTCTTCTTGTCCGCAGACAGCGACAAAATGAAGCACAATTAGGAGAAACATAAGGGAAGAAAGTGTCTCCTTGCAGTCCACCAGCAAGTTCACGCCCCACTGTCTTCAGTCGTTGTTGGGATGTATCTGGTCTGATGACGGGTCAAGAAAACTTTTATGCGACTCGATAAGGTCAGCCAGAATCTACATCCGTATGATATATAAATAGGTGTTGCATTGGACGGCGACGGTAGCATGTGATCTATTATTAATCGATTACTTTCAGCTTCCAATCACGTTTCACAAAATAGCGACGTTTTATTTCTTTAACTATAGTGTGTGTGTGTATGTATGTATGTATGTATGTATGTATGTATGTATGTGTGTGTGTGTGTGTGTGTGTGTGTGTGTGTGTGTGTGTGTGTGTGTGTGTGTGTGTGTGTCCGTTCGTCCATCCATCCATCCATGTTTGTTGAAGACCATGGTACAATCGTCATTATTTCTTGGTAGTATATCTGAAACTCCAAACATGGAAGCACTTGACTTCGCGACTCTTTTCTCATTCATTGTCGGATACATTTTCAAATGATCAAATGCAAACAGACTACAACAGTAATTTACTCAACAGAATTAGAAACTTGACACTTTTATTATTGGTAATAACTGTGGGTAGGGGTGTGGTTAGATTATTAAAGTGCCCATACACACACGCATGGCAAGCGAACGACGTAAAAAAGTGGTCATAAAGCGTAAAAAAGCGTGAAACGAGTCACGTGATCACCTTAGCGATCGCATTGGAGTTCACGCACACAGACATGACAAGAGAGGAAAACGCCACAAAATTGTAAGTTTAACAAAAATGCGAGTATGTCGCGACTCAAAATTCAGCAACGCAAGCGTACCAAGGGTGGGAACAATGCTGGTCAAACCGTTGCGTCGGTTGCACGAACAGTTACAGGCCTGGAGAGCCACATTTCCGAAACAGATAGCCAAAATTGATGTGGCTCTCCCGGCAATAGTTATGGTTGCGTGAACATGGAATGTGGCTCTCCAGGCTATGTTGTCAAAACACAACATAATATACTAATATTACATATAATATTATCACATAATAATAAAAAAATCTTAATCTGTAAACCATAATAATAATGATAATGGTATATTATATTGCCATGTGTGCATTTCTTATGAAAACTTTCTGCTGCATGGTGATGCGTGGACGTCTACCTCTTGGTCAATCTACGGTGACCCCAGTCTGTCTGCAGCGTTGAATAAGTCTTATAACCCTGATATGGTAGCATCCGAGAGCGTTGGCAACAGCATTGTATGTCGACCCCATCTGCAACATCGCAATGGCTATTTCCCTCTCTTCCGCTGTTAATTGTGGAAATATTTCTCGTACTTGTGTATCATATCATGCATTCTAGGCTCTCTTTATACCCTTTAGAAGCATTCTACATGTGAAATTGATGCAAATACTGCTTGAATATTGCTGCGTTTTGGCGATTGATATTGTTGTGTGTAAATGTTACTTTGCAAGCAAAAATGTTAACAAAAATTATTTTCGGTGTTCCTAAACACTTTTTCACAATATCAAAGACACGTTATTCTTGTTTTCACTAATGCAAATCAGCAGAAAAATTTTAAAAGACTGAAATTATAGGAATGATTCTTTTACAATTTTACACACTCTACAACAGTTGTTTCTTGTTTTAATAATTGAAAAATGGTAACTTTAAATAGTTTATCTCTGTCTTAAGCAGAATTTTATTTCAACCTTTCTTTTGGACATCTAAATCACTGTTATTGGTTTATTTCGGCATGGTCGAAAATAGGACAATTTAACTCTTCTGAAAACGATGCAGTTCACCTAAATATGAATGCGTTTGAGAATTTGGTTCGTGATTTGTATAAGGCTGTGTTGTTAAGGTTCCTTATAAACTAATATCTTCCAACATATTTTTGATAGTATTTAAGTAATTCATAAATGGTAGGAAGGTAACGTTTCTTTTGGCGTTAAGTGTAGGAACAGTCTTTTACCGGTGACGGTAATCCATTAATTAATCAATCTATTGGAAATGTGGCTTTACCGGCTACAGCCATGTAATTGAAATGTGGCCTTCCCGGCAATAGTCATTTTTGAAATGTGGCTTTCCCGGCCTGACACCGCACGAACCCTGGGCTGCGGTCGTAAGACAATACACAGCCCGAGGCGTGTGCAATGTACGGGAACCATTGCTGTTAGATGGCGTACAAATCATTTTACGTCATCTCCACAGCTGTGTGACTGCAACCTCCAGTAGCAGACATCAGATAATGTGTCAGCACAGACAGTTAGACTGCGCGCCCCAGGT